AGGCTAAACATGCCCACACATGCATGCATGCCAACATGCACACACACACACACACACACACACAGAGTAAAGGGAAACCAGTAGAGCCCTGGAAATGACAGTGAGCCGATTTCCCTCCATTTTCTTTTCTTTTTAAAAAATTTTTTATTTATTACAATTTATTCACTTTGGATCCCAGTTGTGACCTTCTCCCTATCTCCTCCCAGTCCCCTTCCCAGTCCACTGATAAGAGTGCACCTCCCCTTCCATCTGGCCCTAGCCGATCAGGTCTCATCAGGACCGGCTGCACTGTCCTCCTCTGTGGCCTGGTAAGGCTGCTCCCCTGACACATACACACACACCTCAGGGAGACATACCTATCACCCTGCATAAAACTAAAGTCCAAGTGGATCAAAAATTTCAACATAAATAAGACATACTAAATCTGTTAAAGAAAAAGTGGGAAAGAGCCTAGAACTCACTGGCCTAGAAGACAGCTTCCTGAACAGAACACCAAGGCAGCGCAGGCTCTATGATCAACAATTAATAAATGGGAACTCATGAACTATAAAGCAAAGGACACTGTTGTCAGAACAAAAAGACAGCCTACAGACTGGGAAAAGATCTTTACCAACCCTACATCTGACAGAGGGCTAATATCCAGATTATATAAAGAACTCAAGAAGTTAAATAGCAACAAATCAAGTAATCCAATTAAAAAATGGGATACAGGGCTAAACAGAGAATTCTCAATAGAGGAATATCAAATGGCAGAGAAATGAAAAAATGCTCAGTGTCCTTAGTCATCAGGGAAATGCAAATCACCTTACACCCATCAGAACGGCTAAGATCAAAAACTCAAGTGACAACACATGCTGGAGAGGATGTGGAGAAAGGGGAACTCTCCTCCATTGCTAGTGGGAATATAAACTTGTACAACCACTTTGGAAAACAATCTGGCACTTTCTCAGAAAATTAGTACTGTTATCTCAAGATCCCTCCATTTTCTGAAGCTCCAGGATGCCAGAGCTTAGCAGGGCTGCCTCCTAATAAATGCAGGCAGCTAAAGGTTGTTCAGACTTTAACGCAGACTGCATCTCTAAAGAAAGCTAATGAGGTTGCCAGAAAGGAGCGATAGCCTCTCAGAGAGCCTTCTAACTGGTTAAATCCTAATTCAGAGCACTTCTAAAATAGTCTCAAATCAGCTCCAACGTTAAAGCCTCTTGAAGGTAGAGTTTATGCGGAACTAAAACTGGACCTCCTTTTTACTGACTTTATATATTCAAATTCTTCCAGGTCTTTAAGTTGGTTGCTTTAAATATTAAGCCTAAACATTAAACAGCATGATTATTTTCATCCCAATAAAGACTTTGTTTCCACTACAGACATTCTAATTCTCTGCTGTACTAATAGACACAGGCAAAAAAACAAAAACAAACAAAAAAAAAAAAACGTCATGCTACGGCATGAGTCCCTGGGGATTGTGTGGCCCTGTATCCATCTGCACTGACGAGCTACGGGAGAGAAAACTGTGATGATTTAAGACACATGGAAACGTAGACACTCACATGCTTCTTAACATGAAAAGCCGGGCCCACGGAAACCTGACTGAATGTCAAAGGTAACAGTGGTACAAGGCATATATTCAGCAAACACCACAAAATGGTATCCTTTCTTGAACACATGCAGAGAGAGAGGGAGGACAAAGTCCAGGAGGAAGAGCAGGAAAGGGGGTTGTTCTCAGTTCCTCTGGCATGCTGAACAATGCAAGCTGTACTTTAGTCAGAACACACTGGGCTGGGACCAGGGATGTAATCCAGTAGCAGGGCACTTGACTAGAACATGCAAACTCCCTGGCTATGAACTCTAGCACATGAAAAAAAGTATTTTATATGCATAAGCAAGATGTGTGTAGACACACATTCATATAATACAAATGGGACTACAAATCCTCCCATAGGGGCTGTATGGACTTTATGTTTCTAGGTTTTGCAATCCAAAATTAGGCAGAGGACCTAGTATAAGGAAGACTTAAAAAATGGCTGATTGGTGAGGGAATGAATGATCTAGGTTGATAAGGCCCTGTAAAACTTTGGAAAAGCATCAGGACCAGAAATACTTTTCACTGACAAGTTTCATGCAGCGGGAACTTCCTGTTCTTCCTCTGTGAAGGCTTGCAGACGCTGCACGCCCGTAAGAGGAAGAGACAGGTCTTAGGTAACATACATGCCAAGCTCAACATTGTGCTTAAGGCTGTTTCTGAGAAGCTACTACTTCACTCCAAATGAATAGTCTACACTTGACATGTTTGAAAAAGAGTCAAGAAAATCACACATATAAAAAAATTATCAAAACCACAGCAGCTTTGTCAAGAGACAAGGGACACGGTGGGAGCTGTGATAAGGAGCAGACCAAGTGGCTGGTGCAGCAAAGGGCTGAGCCACTGGTCCAGAGGAGACGCCTCATCAGGACATGAAGTCCTGAGCTGACTACAGTGAGGGTCAGGCTGAGGACCTTGCTGGAGATAGAGGGGCCTCCCTGCAAAGAAAACAAAAACAAAAACAAAAAAACGAGGCATAGCATATCTAAGACCTTTTAAGGCTATTTGGAACCTCTTGACTTGCCAGAGAAATGCAAGGCTGAATTCCAACCTCTGTGAAATTAATTCACAATGAGGAAGACCCAAGAGTCAGGGATTTCAAGCACCTGCTTTAAACTCTGCAGTAACTGTGATATCTCTGACTTGAGCCGGCCAGGGCACGTGAACAGTCAGAGGGCAAAAAGGATGCAGACACACACAGCTGAGAGTAACTGAACTGCAGCCTGAAGTGAGCGCACCAATTACCACAGTTTCATACTTTCTACAGACCCAGTAACTGCAAAGCGTCAGAGCCCAAGCCGGAGCGATTCCATTTAATCCACTCTTTCCTGTCCTAAAACTAGTTCAAGCTAACCAGGAAACAAACAGGTCCCAGGGAGATCAAGAGGTGGACAGAAGGCCTCTGCAAAGGTCTCACACCCCTCTTCTAGTCTTCTCACTGTTGAAAGAATGTCAAACAAATCAACATTTATCCACAGTCCTAGTCAGTTTCATAAGAGCCCATGCACCACTGTTACTGATCTGGAAACATGAAATACATCCACACATTAACTTTATTAAAGATCTTTATAAATCAAGAGATAACCATGTCTTTCTCATGCTAAAGTAAACACAGCATAAATGCTGAAATAGTGTCACTGGGCCAAAAAATGGTTATCTGGCAGGCAGCTCTTCACCCACTTCCCGGGAATCGAAGCATTAATTAACTGAAAAACCATCACGCACTGCACCACCTTCACTCCATTATCAGTTTCTAAAGATGTCATGCATATACTTTGCCTTTCAGCACTGGGAATAGAATCTGAGGCCTCTCCTGTCCCAGGAAGTGGTCCACTACCAAGCTAAACACACTAAAGGCTTCATAAACCGACTACTTTTTGTATAGATGGCCCTTAGAAACAATCTGATGATTATAACAGCTCTCAGAACAGATACAGAGTATATAAATATTAATGCACAAATTCATAAACTGGAACACAGAAAGAGTAAAGAATCCAGGAGTGGAATGCAAAGCAGCCTTACTTTTTTCACCACTCTGAAAGAACATTCCATTCAAAACACCTAACAAATTTATCAATGGATTTTTAGTATTGTAATAATTTTCCGTATTATTTCACAAGAGCAATCTTTAAAAGCAGTGGGAGAGTCTATACTACACATCCTACATGTTAAATCTATTGATAATTAATACTTAATATTTAATATAAATTCTTCTGTCAAAAAGTACTTCTGGAGCCAGGCGCTGTGGCACACGCCTGTGATTCCAGCACTCAGGGATGCAGAGGCAGAGGTTCTCTGTGAGTTCGAGGCCAGGCTGGTCTACAGAGTGAATCCAGGACAGCCAGGGATACACAGAGAAAGCCTGTCTCGAAAAACCAAAAGACAAACAAACAAAACAACAACAAACAAACAAAAAGTACTTCTAACAACTATGAAATTCATTTATAATTTCAAGGAGTTGTTTTAAGAAGGTTATATTAAAAATAATAAACAATGACTGAAGAGACATTTCTCAAAAAAATTTTCTCGAGTCTGAAGTTTTAATTTTCCTGGGGAAATGTATTAAGTCTGAAGCTCATAAATTTTCCTGAATGCTGAGAAGCTCCTAACATGCAGTGGCCTTACACTGTGATAAACATATGTGTGAGGGAGGAGGCCCCTCCCACTCAGACACACCGGCACCAGCATCTCAGTTGTGAGATCCTCTAATCATGGCTGTGGTTGCTGGGGAGACCCTGGGCAAGGGCCTGATGGTGTGACTCCTGCTGTGATCACTGCTGGTCTCTGGAAGAGAAGTTGCCCCTTGCTTGTCTCTGCATTTGAAGGTGCTCGATTCACTGGCCCCCACTCTGACCAACCGACATCATGTTTCTTCTCTCAGCATGATAAAACAATGACACAAGTGAGGTGTGGCCCCGCCTACTCAACATCATGGGGGCAGAGCCCTCTCCTCCTGTGTCACAGTGGAACTGAGGATCTGCGAGAACCAGGGACCCAGAGCTCAGGTGTAGCCTGCAGCCTGCATGCAAGATGGAGGAAGAGTGAAGACTTTCAGAGGCCTGGCTCAGCCACCCTTGAAAACTATGTAGGGGCAGCCATAAACACATGATCTCTAAGAGTCCTAAGACGGTGTGTAACCATGCAATTCTTCTGAAACTAAAACAGTCACCCCCTCCCTACCACAAACAAAAGTGCGTCAATAGTTCTACTCAGGGCTTTGCTGTATTATTGATCAAGAACGCAGCATTATAGAAATGGTAATGAAGTAAACATGTGTGAAGAGTTGAAAGCTTTGACCCACTGTGCCTCACATGATAACCTTATATGAACAGACTAATTGCTGGAATAACTTAAAACCATGCTCCAAAGGGCAAAATCATGAAGACGGGCAGCAAATGAGAAAGGTAAAGACAGTGCTTACTTTCTTTACACGCGTGACAGTAGCCAAGGAAAGACAACAAAAAGAAGAGGGCACACAGGAGGTCTGCACGGCCAACAACACCAGCAACCTTAAAAGAAGGGGGAGAGGAGATTTACATAAAAAAATAAACATTTCTAAATCGTAGCTATTCAAAACATACCTTAGACACAGAACAAGCAACTTACCAGACCGCACCCCCTAATGACACCGTGTTGGCTACACGGCCCAGCGGTGTTATCCCACTGCTGGCTTGTTCTCGTCACCCTTGCACAGGACTTCATCCCATTGCTTTAAGAGAAACTGGGCTATCTCAACAGACTGTTCTGGGCACGGCACGTGTCTAGCAAAAGGCGTGTTATTTAACATGTCACACCCAAGAGCACCAAAATCCCGGATTTCTCATGCTCCACAGGAGATGTCACCAGCTCAGAGAGCACAGTACTAAAAAAATAATCCTGGGACTGGCAAAACAGGACAGTCGGTAAAAGCACTTTCTGCACAAGTCTGGAGACATAAGTTTGATCCCAGAACCCACAGAAAGGGGGATGAAGAGAACTTCAGAGTCCTCTAGCTTTTACATGTGTACCATGGCGTGCATGCCACCTCCCTCCCCCAATATCAGGCATGCACACACTTCAGGCATGAACACACATCTACACAATAATAATAATAAATTGAAAAGAACTTTAAATCTGATTGGAAACACGAAGAGCATAAGTAGGAAATATATGTTAAAAGTCAGCCATTTAGGCAGAAAGAAAAGGACAGGCTTGATGTCTCTGGGCTTCCTCTGCCATCTTTTCTCCCTTCTGACTCAAACTGGTTTAGAGGATTAACCTGCGAAGTTAGGAGACCTCCACAGTGACCCATGAGATGAAACAGAGGATAATTCCACCCTTTTCCTCTCCTCATTTCCAACATGACAACTTCCTTCCTCCTTTCCCTTTGTGACAATGAAGCCCTTTTTCTTCCAGGCTGGTTATCCGGGTGATTGCTTTCCAGATATGTCAGCACAGGCAAAGACAGAACTCCCCTGCTCCACTCACGGATGTCCTTTCCTAACCAGCCCCCAAATGCGGCATATACCAAACCACTTTAACAGATGGCAAGTGAATCCCTTCTCAAAGGACCGCTAAACTGTCACGCCTGTGGAAATTAGACACATACATGTTTTCCTAAGGGCGTGTGGTCAGCAGCTGAACAAGAGCGCCTTTAAGAACAGTCTTCCTTGTGCACATGAGGGCTGAGGTGTGCTGTCCACTACAGCTACAACCCCCCAATGGAGGTGCACTGGGAAATCCAGGGTGTTAGGACAGGGTAAGAGGTAAAAGGAGTTGATGCAGCCATCCCAGCAGGAGCATGGGTGAGAGGAACCCGACAGAGAGGCGACCGTGACGGTCAGCGCTGCAACTCCTCTGGATCCAGGGTCAGCCAGGAGACGGTCCTGCTGGCATGTCTGTGAGTACATCTCTAAACCAGCCAGCTGAGGCAAACCCTCTCTCAATGGGGGCAGCACCATTCCAGGGGCTGAGGCCTTCAGCTCAGTAAAAAGACCGCGAGCTGAGCACTGCCATCCCTCTCTGCTCCCTGACTGGATCTGCCCAGCTAGCTCATGCTCTGCAGCCACTCCTTCCCTGCCATCATGGGCTGTACCTAACTGAGCCACAATCAACCCTTCCTTTATAAAGTTGCTTTTGCCAGCTATTTTGTCACAAAAATGGTAACAATCAACCAGCAGAGAAAGCAAGGGGCCAAACAAGCTTAATGAGAGAACAGGAAGAGAACATGGCAGTCCACTGGAGTGGAATCTACCATGAGAGTTCACTCAACCAAGGACACAGCAAGCAATCAGAGATGCAGCTACAGAACAAAGCCTGGCATGTGGTAGGTGTGGCTCCCTGTCAGTTCCTTCATGAATCCCAGAAGGCTTCCAAACAGGATAAAGTGCAGGCAGGAAAAGGCCCAAGGAGGCTCATCAGGGGATGGGGGACTGCAGTTATGTCATAGTGCCAAGTAAGGAAGTGGTTAGAAAATCCAGGCTTTGTGGGCTTCTAGCTGGATACAGGGAGAGGAGCCTTTTAGAGCTGTGGGTTAGTGCAGACTGGACCCCAAACCCTCAGAAGCAACCAAAGCCAATTCAGAGTTACTGTCCAAGGAGCCACAAAGCAACAAGCTAAGATGAGGGAGAACAGGTGAACCGAGCTTCTTGGAATGGCTGAAGGGAAAGGAGAAGTTTGGAAAAGAACCAGGGACAAAGCCAAAAGAACCAGGCTGTTGGAGCCCCATCTATCAGAGTGGCTAAGGTACATGCACAGAACTGCTACGAAATGAACTTTAAGCAAACACCTTATTTTCTCTTCTAAAAGAGAGCTTTTCTTTTGCTAAACTACTGTCCTGGTCATGGGCTCGAAGTTTGATAAGTGAGCCATTTCTCCATCCCTATTTTTGTAAACTATTAAAGACAATCTCAAGTCTTTAAGTGATGAATGTTGTACTACCTGACATAAAAACAAACAAAAGATAAATCTATGCCAAGTGTTTTAAAGTAAAGAAGAATTTAGCATTTAAATGAATATTTAAATTATAGAGAGCTCACAGCATAGAATGTCAAAGGCTGTCCAAGAACAGGCTATATCCAACCACTGGAAAATGGACATGAGAAAGACTAGACAAGCCTTTTTTCTTTTTTCCTTCCTTCCTTCCTTCCTTCCTTCCTTCCTTCCTTCCTTCCTTCCTTCCTTCCTTCCTTCCCTTCCCTTCCCTTCCCTTCCCTTCCCTTCTTTCTTGATATTTGCAAAATATGTATTTTCAGGTAAATTTCTCTCCAACAGCTCTATTTTTATTTCAGATAACCTAAAATACAAAAACCTAAAAACTTGTCAAGCTTTTCTGAAAAAAAAAAAAAAAAAAAAATCAATGTGCCCTCTGTCAATCCATTAAACTGGTAGCATCTAAGCTTCCAAACAAGGGACAAGATATGAGTGTGGAGACAGGGAGGAGGTGGGCAAGGGTCTCCCTACTAATTCTTTTTGATGGATGGTGCATGCCTACAATCCCAGAACTTGAAAGATAGAGGCAGGATTACAAGGGTTCAAAGCCTTCTTCATCTAAATAGCTACAATATTTTGAGACTAGCTAGGATACAAAGACCGTATCTTGTCCCCCCTCCCTGGCAAAACATCTGGATGGGTGGGTACAAGTCTTGAAGAGCCTTCAGTCTTTCTGATCCTAGAACCCAGGCAACTTGTCACCTTTAGCCACCCTTTAAGTATAATGGTACCCACATCCTCAAGGAGGCCTGGGGAGTATCTCATCCTGATGGCTGAGCCAATGCCGGACGCCTACACAGTATCTGTCCGTGCCTCAACTCCCTCACAGGGAACAATGACCTGTCTAAAGCTTCATGTGCCTGCTAACAATTCAGGGGATTGGGGTGGATTTTGACTTCTATCAGCTGAGGAACAAATCCATCTGTCTGTAGTGATTTCCCTACCAATCAGAGCCCAGAAGGGGAACCAATTTGTTCTACTTTGTGTGGGGCCAACTGAGCGTTGGTCAGAACTCTATCTCAGGTACTCCTGATGGCTAGGAAATAAATGTTAGCTGCTAAGCTGGTTATGGTGGCTCACTTCTCTAATCACAGCACTTCAGAGGCTGAGGCAGGAGGATCAGGCCATCAAGGCCAACCTACATAATACCCTGTCTCAAAGAAAAGAAAAGAAAAAAGAAAGAAGACTCAACAAAATAAAACAAAAATCTCAATAATAACATAAAAAAGATAACATCAGTCTTTTCTACAAGAGGCAAAAATAGCTTCAGTATTACCACTGGGGGTGGGAGAAGAAGGCACAAAACTCATTAATATAAATTACAAAGAAACACAAGTCATTAAGACCTGGTAGGCCTCATGCTGCTACTCCATCCTCAACACACACACAGACACACATTTGCTCCAGTCTGTACTGCCCTCATGCCACAGGGAGCCACATGCAGGGTGGAGCCGCCACGGCCACACCGCAGCAGAGAACTGGCTGTCTCTCCCGCCCTGGGAGGACACCCGAGCGCCATTCCCCTGCCACCTGAAGATAAGCTCCAGGTGTCTTGCTCTTTGCACACATTTAAAGCTGGCATTAAAGCATGCAGAGTGGAAGATAACAGGAAAAAGCCGATAAGAGGAAATTGGATAGTGTGTCAAAATAATGGAAGGTAAACATACAAAATGCCTGTCTGTGAATGCTAATTTTTAATTATTCCTTCTTTCCTGAAGTCCGAGTTTAAATGGCTGGCAGAATGGAATGGCAGAGTTGAAATACTGCTTTTTCCCTACAGGTAGCACCCCACCCCTGCTCTGTGCGTGTGCTCGCTCATGCACACGTGTCTGTGCATGTAGAAGCCATGCACCAACCGTGGGTATATTCCTCAGGGGCGGGCCACCTTGCCCGAGATAGGGTCTCTCATGAGCCCAGAACTAGGGAAGTAGACTGGCCTGGCTGGCCTCTGGCTCCCCGTCACTGGGACTGTGCACACATGCCCTGTGCCAGGGATTCCATGTGGTGCCGGCCACCAGTCTCACTCCCCACGCTTGCACAGCAAGATCATTACTAGCTGAGCTACTACCTCTCTACCTCCCTAAATTCCATTTAATCCGGAATATGACTGTTCAAGATTGGCACAGAAACTGCATTCATCAGCAGTGTGTGTGTCTTTGTGTGTGCACACACTGAAGCATACCCAGGCCTTGAAATCTTTTTATAAATCAACTTTTCAAAACTTAAAATCAGAATTTGGGGATATCTTTGGCTAATCATTCAAATATTTAATTTCGGTCTTATAATTATTCCAGTCAGACAAGAGGCAAACAGTCAATCCAGTCAGGGTTTTCCCAGAAAGCCTCTTGCCTGTGTCAGATGCAGCACTGTATCTGAGATGTAGCAAACACTTAGACCAAAGAAGTGAGGCTGCACCCGTAAAAAGATGAAGGTTTTAGGCGGCCCAGCCTTTAGCATCAGCCCACAGCCTTCACAAAAGACACAGACCGCAAGAGTAAAGCCCCCGGTATGGCTGCCTTGGCATATCAACCAGGACCGGAAGCATGTTCTGCTGAGGCTGGACAAGGCTGTCCAGTTAGGGGAGAGGGAGCCAAAGGCAGGCACACATTCAGAGACAGCCCTTCTCAGAGAAGAAAGGGAAGCAGACACAGGGGAAAGGGAGGCGAGGTGAGATCGGGAGGGACTAAGATGAGAACAGGGAGGAGAACTTCCTACTGGGATGTGAAGTAAACAAATAAATTAATTTTTAATAATCCCATGGTATTCTTGATACCAAAGAACAGACATGAGAAATCGGATGCCAGAAACAAAAATTCTGCTCAACATTTTAGAATTGACTTTAAGACCCTCAACAGGACAATCAGTTAAATGTAGGCATTGGTGTCTGCCAAAGGTCAAAGTGCACTGTGAGAGAAACAGTGTATGCGCACTCTAATCCACGTGTTTTGTAGTACCAGAGTAACCATATTCAGGCTCTTACCTCAGCAACACCCCACTTCACATTTTGCAAAGGTTCAGGATTGCACATAGGGGTTTCCTAACAACCTGAAAAACGTCCAGTTAAATCTCAACAGTCTGTGTCCAGAGCGTATTCTTCTTTGTGTTCTAGGCAGAGACAAGGCCACAGGACAGCAGGTTAGGCTCCTGTCGTTACTGCCTGTCACCTGGCCAAGTCTGTTATGGGGAAGATGTCCAGGGAGGCTGAGGAGGATGGTGGAGACCGCTGTGCCAGCCCTGGCTGCAGGACCTCGAGTTGGAGCATTCCCTACCCCGCCACCTAATGTCATAGTTCTTTTATGCTAATTATATTCAGAAATTTTTTTGTAAATCACAAAGTCAGCTATTACAGAAAAATTGCCCAGGGCCGGGTGCAGTGTGCATGCTTTTAATCCCAGCACTCAGGAGGCAGACAGATGGATCTCTGTGAGTCACAGTCCAGTGTGGTCTATAGAGGGACCTCTATGCCAGCCAAGGCCTACATAGTAAGACCCTGTCTCCCAAAAATGAAGAAGTAAAGCTAGCCCAGTCTCTGCACTGAGGAAGGCTTCTGAACTGCTTGCCTTCAGGCTCCAAAGTCAGGCAACATCGGCGTTTATGCCCTTGAAGCTGGTGTGACCACACAGACTAAACAGACAAGGCCACCCCAGACCCCAGCACTCTGAGGAAGAGGCTCACAGTGTGGTAGCTGTTATTTACCCTGAAGGAGCTCTCTGGCCCAGAATCCGTTGTTTCAGATGTCTGACAAGGAGAGCATTGTTTCCTGAGGACAGAGCGGCGTGGACCCTACCTCTGCACACAAGAGGAGCACACAGAGCCTGTTTTAGAAAACCACATGGCACACAGATGTCTTCCTTCTTACACTGCAGACTGCCACACTCGGGCGGTACTTACACACTCAGTGTGCACTGGGTGGACAGCAAACAGCAGTGCGGCCAGCAGGGATGCTCTGGGGGCCAGGCGGACCCTCCGGCCTTTACTGGTGTACTGCAGGCCGCCAAACAGCACTGAGAAGACATCGAACATGAGCACAGAGACGGCACCGTGCAGGAGGATGTTGACCACATGGAAGCCCACGGGGTGGAAGCCTCCAGAGAGATAATAGTTGATCCTGCAACAGACGGGGTAGTTCACAGTAGATGAACAAAGCACACACACCAGAACAGCGGCTGTCGAACGCTCTCGGTGAAAACTGCACAAAGGCAGCAACGCCTGCCCAGCCAGGAACCGGCACACAATGAGCCGCAGGAGAGGGAGAGAACTGACACTCCACTGGGCAAGGCTCCGATGTGGGCGGGGAAGCCAGGAGCAAAGCTACACCACTTCTCAGTGCCCCAGAGGGACCGTTTTCCGAGGACGAACGAGGTAAACCGCACGTTCCTCAGGGCTACCCCGCAGGGAACTGGACTTAAGTCAGCTACGCAGCCCACACGGCTGCACAAAACTGCACAAAAAAAGCGTTTTTATAGTGTGCATCCCGGCCTCCTCCCACAGGACACCTTCCTACGGTTCTCAGAAGTCTTCCTTTCATCTGCATCACAACTGCTGGTGGTTCTAATTGTTTTTAAATGTTTCTCTGCAAGATCGAAACACACGTATTTAAATGCCCCCCAGAAACTGGTGTATGAGCTCTGTTACGTGACCGGCAGCTCCGGTTAATGGAAGCCACTTCATTTTCCTTACTGACTGACTTGGTAACAGTATGCAGTTCAGAGCTTAATTTTGTCATGGAGACAAACAAGCACAGTTTTATCGGATGCTTGTGTTGCTTTGATGCGTATCGTATGTTCCCTTGGTGCTTTGCTAACCGAACTGTAAAGGGGGGCTCTCCGAGAACTAGAGACAGATGCTTTGCTGCCGCAAGCATCATCCGTGTACAGGGGTGGGGCTAATCGCTGTAATTCCAGGGTTAGTTTGTGTAGCTGAAATGGAGCTTCCTCAGGTACATCCATCCTCTCAGCCTCCCTGTGGCCAGCTTCCTAAGACCTGAAATGAGCACAGCTATCTTAGAACACACGTGGATTCCACCTACCTGGAAACTAATGCCTGGATCCCCATATGCTGTTACGGGGGAACCTTAAGTGATGTGCTTGCTCCTACTGTCACAGCTTACCTGAAAGTCAAAACAGTGAGTGGCCGGTAGGACTTGTGGCTGGTGTTGCTGCTCAGTCTACTGCCCCAGAAGTCATGGTGCCACAGGTCACCCAGGGGTGTGTCTGCCCGGAGGTCCTACAGGGACACAATGGGACACTCTGGACAAGGAGTCATGACTCTCCCCAGTCTTACACCAAAGCCTTGAAAGCTCCCCTAGACTGTCAACTCCACCCCCTCCTCCTTCCCGCTAGCCCTCAGCCCAACCCCCATCATCTAGGATTCAGCCACTGAATCCACTGTATCCTCACAATTTCTATATATATAAGGAACTCCACAATGCACATCAGCTTACCCTACCCACAGAGTTTACAGCCTTTCAATAGCTTCCCACCTTCCTGGGTCAAAAGGTTGGGCATAGGAGGACATCTATGAGTGAGAGGCCAGCCTGATCTAGAGTGAGTTCCAGGACAGCCAAGGCACACAGACCACACAGAAAAGCCATGTCTCAAAAAACAAAGCAAAAACAAGCAAAGCAAAACCAAGCAAAACAAAACCATGCTGAATGAACAGACAACTTACTATTATGGTCACCACTAGCCTTTCACAGCCAATTAAATAACAATAAAAAACAATATCCAATATAAAGTTAACATTTTTGGTAGCATGAGTTAAGCAGATTATGAAACTAGGGGAAGAAACTTTCCATACAATTTTAAAATATAAAATTACTATTAAACCAAACTATCTTTCTGATGAGAAAATTTAACCTTATATCATACCAAACATGCCTAAATGCATTTTTCTTATCATTATAAGAAATGCTATAAAAAAATTAAACGAGGGGCTGGAGGGTGTTCATGCTGTGCTCTTTCAGAGGACCCGAGTTCAGTTCCCAACATCCATGCTGGGAGAGTCACAATTTCTCCTGTCGCCCCACAGTCACATGACCAGCCCCTGACTCCGACAGGTGGGTGTCCCTAACAGGTATTATTAGCTTTCCAAGAATGGTCTTGGGAGCAGACAGATGCTCAAGCACTGAAGAAATGGCTAAGTGTGTCAAGAATGCACACGGTTCTCCCAGAGGACCCGAGTTTGGTTCTCAGCAAACTTGGGCACAGAACCACCTACAACTCCAGCTCCAGGAGGTTCAAGAGCCTCTTCTGCCCACCTCAGGCAGTCTAGATGTCAGGACTTCTTGAGTGAAGTGCTCGCTCTCAAGGGAAGGCGGCCAGGGGTGGAGCAGAAGCCAAGTGACCACTTGACCCTCACTGCGACTTTCACTTCTACCAGCCTCAGTAGCCCTAAAAATCTAGATCAAGCACCCAAGGAGCCAGCTGGATGTTCTGCTCCCTCAGTGACAGCAGCGGAAGCCCAAGCCGTTGTATATTGCCGTGAAAGTGCTTGTTGCGTTGAGGCGGTTGGGAGCCGCGCTGTGCCCTCCCTCGGAACAGAAAGTGAACACCAACGAAGCCTAAATGTTTAATTCGGCACAGCCTACACGAAGCAGAGTGATTTATGGGAACACCGGATCGGATATGAAATTCCTACCACCACCCTCTCAGAGATCATCTTATGAAGCAAAAAAATGGCAACTCAGCACAAGGAGGCACCTAGCAGACAGTATCCACCACCCCAGGCCCGGAAGCCACTGCTCAGACTATGAACACGGCCTCAGGAGTGGAGCTGGCCATTCCGCTCATCAGGGAAGGAGAAAAGCAGGGCTGGCAAGTTATGCAGGGCCAGGAGGTGCCGTTCCAGAGTGTACTGCTCAAACCACACCTGGCAGAGGCACAAGATGCCTGTCGCCTTCCTCTCACAGGAAAGGAGAGCTGCAGCGCCAGTGCCCTCCACAGAGTCCATGTTTCCATCTTCCCAGCTCAACGGAATTCTCCAACACTGGACCTAAATCAACCCTTTACATACCCATGTGGAGGCATGAAGAAAATCACAATAAATGACATAACTGAAAAAGCAAAGGCGAATCCTCATTAGAAAAGCTACTCTGTGGCTGGCAAGCCGTCAGGGTGGCATAGCTGCTCGGAGCAACTTGCTTCTTCTAAGAAGCATGGTCAAGAAAGAACTGCAAAGGAGTCTTTGCTTAAAGGTGGCAGGGGAAGGAAATCACAAGTGGAATCACCAGCTAACATGAACATGAAGAGATACGGGCATGGTGGCGCACTTCTTTAAGCCTAGCACTCAGGAGGCAGAGGCACATGGATCTCTGAGTCTGTAGCCAGTCTGGCCTACACAGCAAGTTCCAGTTCAGAGCAATATAATGAGACTCTGACTCAGAAAAGTTAATTACAATATCATGCTACAAACAAAACACTTGCAAGTCCAACAAGGCTTTCTCTAACTTCGTAACACACAGTCTCACCATGTGGAGTTTTCTTTGATATTTCTATGTAAAAAGGACTTTTCCTCATTTGGTGACATCTATGATTTCAAATTAATATATATGCATATATATATATAATTAATGGCCTTTATTAACTTTGTAAACATGCAAAAACATACCATGGTGTGTGTGTGTGTGTGTGTGTGAGGACAGCTTGCAGTGTGGGCCCTGGGGAGCGAGTTCGGGTCATTAGGCTTGGCTGCTGGGCCATCCTGGCCACCCTTCACTTCTTATGAGCATGCAACAGCAGTGCTGCAGGAGCTCCCTCAATGACATGCCCCAGGGGTACACGCAGGTGCGCTCCTTCAAGCTGCGGCCTTGGGCAAGCCACACATCCCGTGTGCCGAGCCTGGGCCAGCACAGAGGGCACACCTCACGCCACTTCTGAGCGCGGCTTCTGCCTGCCGCCAACTTTCTTACTCTCACTGTCTTTTGGCTTATGTGACTCTTTTCTTTCCAATTTTACAATAAAAAAGACGACTCCTTTCCTGGCCTCATTCAGCTGCAACTGGTAAACGAGAACGACTAGAGCTTGCAAGGTCAGCAGACTTGAGTCTGCAAACGTGAAATGAGCAGGAGCGTTGCGTCCCTCGGCAGCTACTGCTTTCTTCCAGCGGCTGCCAGCACGCTGTCCTCACGGTGAAGGACAGAGGCACAGCCAGCTGCGACAGAGCACAACCTTTCAACGAGTGATCACATCCATCCATCACTAGAGAAATGGATGAGTCTCTCTCTTAGAGTGCTCAATCTGCAATGCTCTGCAGACCCCTGGACTTGTAATCTGAGCAGAACGGCCTCTCTGATACATGTGCAGGTGGGGGTCTCTTGAGCACAGGCAGGTGCTGCCGACCTGAGGCAATGAACTTAGGTGATAATGCAGAAAATGGGTAACTATAGCTCATGAGGCCCAGACCCAGAGACAACCCAGCTTAACAGAGAATTAACTCCAACTTGGATGATAACTGAGTTATGAGGAAACTGGCATGCTCAAGTTTTCTGGAGGATTAAGACACAAACCTTATTGTTAACAATAGCTTCAGAATCATCAAAGACAAAATCTCCATCATAGCTCCTTGCAAAACACAGAAGGGAAACAAATCCCACAACTAACTTGGCCCAGAAAGGGGGCAGGACAGATGGGATGATGTGATCCAAGTCGGCATCCAGCTCGGCCATCCTGAGAGCTGCAGGCCGCCAGCCTCCTGCTCCAGCATTATGCTGGGTAGAGATCTGCAAAGGAAACACCATGTCAACACTCTTAAGCACATTGCTGCAGTGGACATCATAAGCAAGCAAGAGCTAACCCAGTAAGTTTTGCTGTGATTTTACCATTAGACATATTAAGCTATGTTTTTCACACTTTAGTGGGCAGAAAAGTGACCTGGGACTCAAGCAGCGTTCCAGACCCGACCTTGACCAATGAAATCTGCAGCTCCTGGGTTTCCAATGTTTCTTTTCAGAAATTCTGCCTTAATAGCATTCTGTATTTACTACCCCATAAAACAGGTCATTTTTAGTTCTCAGAGCCGGCTTACAAGGCTTTTGAAAAAGTAACAATCGTCTTCATCGATACAGAAAATGAGTAACTGCTCCTTGCTGGCACATGGGGAGTTAGAGTATACTGTGTGAGACATGACTGTGACCCCGACTCTTCCGGTCTGTGTGTGGAACTCAAGTGCACATGCCAATTAGTTGAAAACCTCAGAGTGGACCCACAGGCAAGGGCACATGACAATGACTGACTGAACCGCGGTTTACGTACAGATGGAGGAACTGATTTCTTTGGAAGGTCTCAGAAAGAACTGAGCTGTCCCAGAGAGGGAGGCACATCTGCACAGAGATCTGACTATCTGGGAAGAGCCAGCTTAGGAAGACATACTTATTGAGAACTTCAAACAGACAAGGAGGTTTTACCGCAGCCTTGCCATTTACTGTTTGTGTGGCTTTGCATCAGTCTCTCCACATATTGCCTGTGGAACACTGCAAAATGCAAGTCCTCTCTGGCTGTGAGAGCTGCATAACAGCCTGGGCCAATTCCAAGACTCAAACACAAACTATCTGCCAGTCAGTTATCTGTCCCTGTTCCCACCACACCCTCGACTAGTGCTTTTTTTCTGGTCCGTTGCTCAGTTCTAATCTTGTGTAAATTTGGAGAGCTAGTTAAACTCTCCGAACCAACTTCCTCATTACTAAAAGGTAAGGAGCCGGCCTTCTTTGGAGTTTTCACTGATTTGTGGAGGGGTGTTATTTGGCTTACAGGTCCCTCACTAAGGAAGTTGTGGAAGGAACTCAAAGCAGGAACCTAGCTGCAGAGGAATGCTGCTTACCGGCTTGCTCGGACGGCTTTTTCTTACACAGCCCTGACTCATCCGCCCAGGGTAGCACTGCCCAGGAGTCTAGGCCCTCCCTCATCAATGATTAATCAAGAAAATGCTCCCAAAGCTTCCCTACAGGCCAGTGTGATGGAGACAGGTTCTGAACGGAGTCCCTAGGGTTCTAATGGATGTTTGGTGAAGGCTAGCTATCATTATATTTTCCACGAGGTTGAACAATCTTTGGACTAGCTCCTTTAGGACTGACTTTTTGATACTAAGGCTCAGGTCCTCCTCTGTAAGAAAGCAGCCTTCTTTCTCCTTTCATGCTAATTAAAAAAAAAAAAAATCCCAGCCGCTTGTCTAGGATGCAGCTTGGTTACATTTGGCTCCAGATCTCCAAATAAACACACAGATCAACAATATGTCGATCAAATAAGAATCTCAGGCCACATTTTTTTTTATAGTCTTTTGTCTGAATAAAGGTAGAGTCAGACTGATGGGCAGCAGAGCACACCTTTCAATGTCAGCACTGAGCCTTCTCACAGGCAGAGGCCCATTTACAATGCAAACACAAAAGCCTGCAACCCTTCCTCTGCTGGTCCCCTGAGTATCACTGCCTGATGTAAGACTTGCTCTTGGCAAGTGTCAGGGGAATAGTCTGCCTACTTTCTGTCATTTTCTTTTCTTTCCACGGAAAAAGGTAAACCACTGTTTAAATCCTAATTGCAGTCATGTCTCCGTGAATACCCTGATTGCTGTTTCACAATCTAGCTTAAGAATAAAACTTCTAGAAGAGGGGAGGATGGGTGGGATTGGGAAGAGACAAAGGAGGGGGCCACAGCCAGGATATAAATTGAATAAATTGTAATAAATGATAATAAAAATAAATAAAAGAAATTACTTCAAATTTTAAACAAACAAAAACAAATACTTAGAAGACACCATTGTTTTAAAAATGAAAGGAATAAATGTGTACTTCGATTTAGAGAATCAATGTGCAAGACACAAATGGTTTACACCAATTTTTAAATGTATAACAGATTACATGGGAGCTACAAAGGATTATGTAAGTGGCTCTGATATTCTTGGGTTGAGCCCTAAACATTTGAATATGAAATCAGTTTGTTCTGAAGTCCAAATGCCCATGTGATTACTGATTGATGAAATAATCTGTGTTTCCAAATTAGCTACTGTATCTTTCCTGTCTCTTCATACTCACAGCCCAAGCCAATCATTTTGGTATTCAAGCAACAGCTCACATATACGTAGGGTGGACTGTGGACCCCCAACATTTGGGGTGCCCTGATGGACTAGACCCCCACTTTTGGGAAGTCAACTGAATTCATGAGTTGATGTCAAACTGATCACCTCTTCTTCTGCAGTGACCAAAACCATTGGACCTGCAGTGCAGAGAGGCATTCTGTCCCCAACCCTAGCCCTCAGTCCTCATCAGCCCCCCCCCATTTCATGGAAGCATGTCTGCTCACAGGGGACAGCCCCTCAGCCCAGTGCCTTTGCTGCCTGGTGGCAGTGGGCATGTTCAAATGTTCCCTTTTGATGAACAGATTGTGTTCACATCCATTGCAGAACAGTCCAGAATATGCCTTTTATCAACAAACGTGTTACAATCCAGTAGAAACCCATGTGAAGTTCTCAGACCCACTCCAGCAGGCCACAGCAAAGGTTCTGGAGACAGAGGCTGCATTTCCCCGAGCTGCACTGTTTCCCTAAGGATGTTTCTCCACCCTTTGTGTCTATGGTGGAATAAGGTACCACTGTGCTCTTGAGGCTATGGTAGGGACCGAGTGAGGCAATACAAGCAGTTAGTCTCCATTTCCATTTGTTTTGAGCAGCTCATAGTCCCTGGTCCCATGTCTTAATGTTCATGGTGCCATCTTAACAACCAGCAAAGCCCATCGGGTGACAAGAAAGAGGAACCCTTCTTCTGGGTAGATCTACAGCACACAGCCTCCCTCGTGAGGCATCTTTGCATCCTATACAAACTCCACACCACACAACCACCCTAATCCCAACTCTCCTTCCTCCAACAGGAAATGACCCTCGTTCTACAATAAGGCTTGGTTCATGGGTAAATAAAACCATGGTCCCCAAAGGTGCCAGAGACCGTTATATCCATGTCAGGGTGTAGAAGAGGGCACTTTCTGTTTTTGACTAAGCAGCACATCTTACCAGTCTTACGAGGTGATGCCCTGCCCGTGAGCCCTGCCTCCTCCGCCACCGCTGAGGATGCTCATTGTGGCTCCATTCCAGCAGTGACTCATCTACACAGAACCTACTCTGAGGTTCTGAAAAGATAACAAAGCTGGTGTTTTGGTGGCTCCTGAACTCCTGTCTGAACTGTCCTCTTAGAGTAGCTCCATGTGGAGCAAATGAATAGCAAAGTGGTATCCTATTCCACTAGAAAGCTGGTCCTGGGGGAAACAACGCAGCTCGGGGAAATGCAGCCACCAGTCCATGTATCCACAATTCTCAATCTCCCAATATTAAGCCCCAAACAATTTCATCTGTCAATCAAAAGGTCAAAGACCTCAAACATGTCTCCTCAAAGGCTAAATGGCACTGAAGTTTGAACCACGAACCTCTAAGAACAATGGACAGCAGCCTAGGCTGAAATGAAGCAGAGCAACACCCACCCTAGATGATTCACCCTGGAAAAACAGCAGCAGCCACCTAATGAAGTCTCTTCCCCAGGCCTGGAGAGGCCTTGTCCTCAACACTAAGGGCAATGCATCCAGGGCCAGCTGTCCTTCGGGACAAAGCATGACCTTGCCTCTGGAAATCAGATTAAGCAATGTGATGGTTTCTGACCAGTATCCTGGCATGATGCAGGGAGGGCTAGCACGCGGAGGCAAAGGAGCCAGCCTTCCTCAGTAATGCTGAGCCAAAGGCAGAGTAGTAAGGTGCCTCATGTGGTGACCTGCCTTCCGAACTGAAGACTGTCCAAGTGGCTGCCCTTTGGAGGTTTCACACTCAGAAAGTTTTCACTTTGCTAGGGTGCAGCCATCTTCCCACCTAGACGGGACAGCACACTCACGTTGGCCCTAGGGCGCACAGCTTGTTGGGGGCACAGCGGACAATACGGGGTTCCAGTCAATCTTTACTATAATTGCTTCCAAAGGAATTCTCCCCATCTATCTGCTCCCAGGAGAGAGCAAAGTGTGGATGACTCAGTGACTGGATCGTCCCTTTAACTCCGCCTTTCTTTTGTGTGTAGTTAAAAAAAAGAGAACACAAATAGCCCACAGTCACAACATCAACAGCCCAGACTCCCCGTGGAGCTCGCGGAGGTGAGGCGGTCGCTGCACCACCTGCTCGGCTTCCCCAACTCCTGGCAGCTCCGTGGCTCCAGGCTCCCAGGCCGCTGGCACTCCCGGCGCGGCCGGGTGGCTCGCCGCGTAACCCCGGGCGGGCAGCCAAGCCACCGGCTGTGTCCAGCCGTCGCCCGCGCCTTGGCCAGCTGTGCACCGGGCGCGGGGACCCCGCAGCCAGGCGGCCGCCGCGCTGGATGCGCTCCGGGCTACGGAGCCGAGGCGCGGCGGAGTCAGTCAGCGACAGGCATGGGGCGGGCGCCGTGACCTCGGCCCCGCCGGGGCAGCGCGGGAGCCCGGGTCCGGGGCGCGCACCCCTCACCACGCGCTCTTTGTCCGGGGTGCGGTTTCCAGCGAGGCGCCGGCCGCCGGAGGCAGCTCGGGTCCCGGGGCTAACTCCTCCCGTGGAGGTGCAGGGAGCGGGCGCCGCCCCCAGGCCCCCGCGCCGGGCCCGCGGCTCGGCGGAGAGCCCGGGAGCCGGCGCCCGCTCCGCGTCCAACTCCGCGCGCCCCGCGGCAGCGCTCAGCCCTGGCCGGCCGCCCCGCGCGTTACCTGCAAGCAGCCCGAGCCGCGACCGCATCTCCCTCCC